CGTATTGCAGTATTAGAAGTTGCAATGATTGTAAACTACTTCTTCCATTTCACGTTTACATCTTTGAACTAAAAAAATTGTAATATTTATGACATTTTTTCTACGTGACACATGCATATGCGTATTCACACAAAAATCAAATCATAATTACTTCCACAGATCCACAAAATCTCTGCCTTTGATGGCTGACTTTACGAATCCTAGTTGTAAAAATAAATATGGAAACAAATTTCCCCTAATATTCCAATGTAGATTATGATTCATGGCCCCGATATTGATACCCTTCCTCTTGAAAACAAAGAAAATCATTGCAGAACAAAAGCATGGGTATCTTGAATGATGACCTATTTCTTCAGGTGATATTGTGCTTCCCTCCAAGACACGAAGTTAGATGCAAGAGTTTAAACAACAATTTCAATGTCCATATTTCTAATAGAAAATTTCCCATGAGTGCTTTGTTAAATCAAGTCACAGAGTCTGCGAAATCTCATTCATTTCTCGGATATATCCCCCAGTGTCTTTTACCAAATTCAACTAGACTCTCCTTACCCTCTTGACATGGTGGGGATTTAGAAAATCCTGACCATTCAAGTCCTGGTCTTGACCACATTTGTGACCTTCTTCTCGTTCACGTTTTTAAGTTAAAAGACTTATTGCCTTTTCAAGCCTATTACCATGGAATACCACCTGGTGTCAAAGGCAATCATGACAGTTGGATTGTCAGGCCGGTTTTTTTGGCTGTTAATTCAAGAACTGATTCATTTACAATCAGATTGATAGAAGTCCATTTAAAAAAGACCAAGCCCAGGTAAAACAAGTGTGTAAATTCAAGCATTTACAGTTGGTTCAAGAATTTGTTTGCAAATCAAAGTTGAGCATAAATGCTCAACCTGTTTACTTGCATGTCTCACTTTATTGGCTTAGGGAAGATGGCGATATTCTTGCTTTCGACATAGAAAAGTGCCAAGGTAGAATCATTATGGGATCTGGTAGCACAACCTCTATTATGAGGTTTGTATATGACGTGTGGTTTGGTGGGTTCCAAGGTTCGCTTGCAATTTGTCAGTGCTTTTCAAGAAGAAATTATCATCACTGTTTATCATTACGAAAAAAATCTTTGTAGACTGTGTTAACCCTTCACTGTTTGTACTCAGATTTCTTTATTATGGGGTAGTAAAGTTAGGAAAAGTTCCTGTAAATACTGTGTTTGCCTCTAATTTTCTACATTTATTGCATATTTCAGCCAAAATTCACTGGTTTTCATTCAGCCCTTGTTTGGACCACCCTTTTTCTTTTTTTCTTTTTCTTTTTTTTTTTTTTTGCGTTTCTCGTGATGTAGGAAGCAACGAGGAATGCTGAAGCCACTAGTAGTGATGAATGCCCTGTAGAAATTAGACTAATTGCTGCTCCCAAGTACGTTCTTTATGCCCAAGTAGTTGACAAGGTAATAAAAGATCCCGACATGAAATTTAAGATTTATATGAAAGATTTTGTACTTCCCTATGAGCTGAAAAGTCATTTTTATGAACTCAACGCCCAACATTATCTGTAATCATATTCAAATAATAGAGTATAGGATTGCTTTTGGTTCTCTTTTTTTTTTTTTTTTTTTTTTTTTTTTTTTTTGCGTTAGTATTAAGAATATGGCCGTTGGCCCACTTAAGTTTCTGACAAATTATTGCCTTCTACTGTACCACATATTAGACTGCAATTTCCTTTTCCCAAATTTGCCCTTGACATTTCAAAGTCCATAATTCCTGCCACCATAAATGGACAACCAACAAATGAGGACAAAAGGACAAAAATGTAAATTGGTGGGAATTGAAAAATGAAATGAAGGGGGTCAAATGCAGGCGCTCACACTCTATTTGATGTAAAAATGCATTATGGGGACAAAAATAGGGATCAAACGGGGGCTAAATATGTGCAAATTGAGTGCATTTTGTGGGCTGATTAAGATGCAGAACCTCCGTGTTCATTTTTTGGTTGAACCCTCTGTCAATAGACATTATAGTTTTGGTCAGGCACTCTCTTTCAAAAAAATTTCTATTGAGAATGTGTTACTCTTATGAATGAGAGTGCTTTATAAGACTCTAAAGAAGATATTGTTCCAACCATTCATGTTGTCCTACTCTTCATTTATCTCCCACCAATCTCGCTTCCACTTGTTAACTTATATTCTCATGACCACATGTTTATCTATGAATCCTCATCCCTGCCGCGACACCTAGTGGATGGAAGAAGGACAATTTTCCATTCCTAACAAGAAATATGAAGCGAAACCTTTTTCGCAATAGCTAACCTCAAACTAGTTAATTTTAGGGTCCGTTTGATTACAAGAATAGAATTTGGGTGGAAAGAAAATGAATTCTATGGAATTTAATTTTCTAGAACTTGTTTTACTGAAAATTGTCAATTAATTGTGTTTTATTGGTATAATTTTCCACCTGAGAAATATTGAAACAGGGCCTTAAGGTATTTATAATAAATTACTACCTAATGATATTATTGATCATGTACAGCTTTAAAGAATGATATGTTCTTAATTAAACACGACAGAAATTGCAAAGTTGTCATGATTAGAAGAGATCCCCCAAAAGTAAATGTTTCCTTTCCGTTTTGTGTATGAATTTTTTACTAGTTTGCGCCAAAATGTCATCCGTCCATGAACAACCTCATTCTTGTCTCTAACGAGTTTGTCCAATCTCATTACACGTAATTCTTAGTCATTTGCTTCCACTAGTTGAAAGTACATTCTATAGACTTCTCCATCTGGAGAACTATGAGTTTGATATAAGTATTAACTTAGAAACTTATATCTCATTTGGTGTCATAATTTTATTTGAAAATTGCACAGTTTTTTGTCAAAAAGTAGTTACAAAGAAAAATCAAGATTGGCTTCTAGCTGGGGATCGAAACTCTAGTTGATTTCATGCCGAAGCATCTGGTTGGAGAACAAAGATGTCGCGGAAGCTTGCTCAATGATTGTCAAAACGGTGTTTTCTGGGATCAATTTGACGTTACCTTTCTCTACCTTGGAGAAAGGAAATGAGGTAAAAACCAAATCTTGACCATAACAAATTAGGAAATAGCACAGGAGAGAGAGAGAGAGAGAGAGAGAGAGAGAGAGAGAGAGAGAGGAACCACATATAAAGAGCCATGGAATGAACTTGGTTTGAATGTTGAAAAATGTATTGTTCCTACAGTATTGGTTTCACCTTTTTTGACAATCTGACTTATTCTGCTCGAAAGAATCAGGAACGGGAAAGAAATAGAAACAGAATGAACAGACAATATGGAAAACCTGAGCAGAAAGGATGATCAGAGCTCACTGACTTCATGATGTGTCATTCAGACAAATTTGCTTCGTTCTATGGTTCTTAAAGTAGTTACCAATCGTCTTCCATGATCAAATGGATTTTCGTCTCTTATGAAAGCAATATGTAAGAGTTTCAGCGCCCTCAATTTTTGTAATTGTACTCAAAGGCAGAAGCAAAATTTAGAGAGAGGAAATTCAAAGCTATAGTTTTATTTCATTGAATGGTTTGTATTAATCGGCAGAAAGGCAATCAATTTATAGAGTATTAGTAGCCATTCGAACAGCATAAATACCATTTCACGAACAATGGTGACTGTTCAAACAAAAAAAAACATCTGTTTAGACAGAAAATAGACGTCGAATCTGCCAAGAAAAAAAAAACCAATGGCTCGAATTTTTAAACTGTTAAAAATTATTTCATCAAGTAACCAAATTTAAATAAATTTTCTTCAAAAAAGATATATGAAAGACCCACACCTAAATAGTGCGGCCATGGTATCACATGGTTCGAACCCACAAGAATCTTGAAGCTCACCCATTCCACAAAATTGGGTGCCCTTGAAGACTCAAAGGCTAAACTTGATGACAAAAGGTGAAAGAGATACGGTAAAACTCATATTTTTCATTACTGGTGAATCAGTTTATATATACAAGAACGAGCTTTTAACTTAAATCAAGGATGCAAATTGATATTATTGATACTAAATAGAATACACATCAAAGATAAATATGTAGTGTAAATATTTGCAGTTGGTAATGGTTGATTTCGTCCAATACTCGAGTTTTATAAATCATACATTTTCCTACTAATTTTTTCGTGGGACAAAGTTTACCACGTTGATTTAAGTTTCAAATGGATGACTTTGGATCCATATATTTCATTCAATATTTAATAAATATTTGACTAGTAAATATATCATGTTAATTATGTCGCGGAGTAGAACATAAATATGCTTAATTTTGAGCTCAAAGATGCTCAATAATACTCATTTCCAACAAAATTCAAATTCTACATAAAAGCAATTAGTCAATTAACCAGAATAGGAGCACATCACCAAAGGGGAATGCAAGAAACCTCAAATGGGACATTACCAAGTATTCAAATTTTATTGGGACATTACCAAGTATTAGTCAATTGAATATGTGTTTGAAAACATTAAAACGCACAGATAAACACACTTCTCTCACCCAACGTGCCATTTTAAAAAATTCATCAAGAGACAAATACGTGGTAATGTCCCAATAAAATTTCTTGTTTTCTTATCCAATCTAGCATATTACACGTGAAAGTATATTATCGTTTAGTTTCAATTGTGCACTCGAATCACAAAACTATGTCTTGGGTGAAGGCAAATCCATACAGGGTGTAGCTTATGAACACTATAATACTATCATCTAAGCAAATATTGGAAATCAACTAGCAGTATGATCTAACAAAATATTAATCGCGACATGTTCACCAAGATAGACTAGATTGAATTTCGTAATATTAACAAAAATATAAAAATAAAAACTAAAATCTTGTTCATTGTAAAGCCCACCTCATCTTGAGAAGTGGAAGGACCTAAGCTGACAGTGATCCAAAATGAGAAAAAAAAAAAAGGACTAGTTAAAACGAGCTTTCTGACAATTTTTCAGCAGGTTGGGATCGATTATGTTATGTAGATCAAAACACAACTAACTACTCATATTTTGCAACAATGCCTTCAAAGATGCCATCAGATCTGAAATATGGTGAAAACAACCTAGGATCAACAGGGCCCGGTAGACTGAAGCAAAGCATGAAGTTTCCAGGTGGACATTGTTGCTGAAATTTCATTTCAAAAACTCGAGAATATTTTGATACAGTTTTCACACCAGTTGATGTCACACCTTTGATGCTAACTTTTCCATCCCGTTCAACCTCACAGCTAAATTGACCTGCTAAAATAAACGTCATCAACAATTTGAGCGGAGAATGATTAGAAATATGGACGTGTTTTATTTAGTAAGACTATGGTATTGGCATGACTATGCAAACCTACCTACGAACTTAATGTAATGTAGATAATATTCCCATTTTGAAATCCTACCGCGATATACTTCAATCTAATTGCAAGAGAAACGAGTATTAAAACAGAGTCTAAAGAATTTTAAAGAAGGTGATAGACAGGAGTTCACTTTCCTCCTTCTGGTTCATGGGTCTCTTTTTGTCCTTTTTTTCACATATGACTAGAAAGCCTCTTCATTTACTAGTTTTTCTTTTTCGGATTTTTTTCAAAAGAAAATACTTCTAGAATTTAATTTTACAAGATCATTGAAAATATACATTGTAATGTTGGAAAAGAGCATTATATAAATTTGAAGACTTCCTGATGGAGTATTAGAATAAATAATAGTATATTTAGCCCCTCTTTCGCCCCCATCAATCACACATTTTTCAATAAAATAATATTACACATAAACTTAAAAACTTTTTCTTCTATTTTTAACCACACATTCTCTAAAAAAATACTATTTCTCTCATTATAAATTGAAATAATGGAGCCCAAACAGGGCTTAGTCTCTAATTTAAGCTTATTTTAGGAACCATAATTAGTGATTTATTTAGAGTATTTTCCTACTTCAATTAGCATGTCTATGCAATGTAATTGGGACGAGCTTGATATAATGAAATAATTGATTTCTCCCCCAGTTTCTATCTACCTCTCTCCCTCTTCTTGGATTTGGGTCGATTTAATGGGTAGTTTGTAATAGGAGGTCAGGTTAATGGGTTAATTTTGTGGAATGCGCTGGGTAAGTTGTTGGGGTACTTACAAAAATACCCTTAAAATTAGGGATGTTTTGAAAAATCATATGAAAAATTTTTAGGAAGTAAAAAATACTATGTAAAATGAAAAAGTATTATAATGTCACTTTTTTATAAAAATTGTCATTTTTTCACTTTTAAAAAAAAAAGTGACACAAACTCAAAAAAAGTAACACACACACTCTTAAAAATTGATACAAACTCAAAAAAGTGAAACAAAATAAAAAAAAGTGACAAATATCAAAATAGCACCAATCAACATGCTGATTAAAAAGTGATGTTTGTTACTAAAAAAAGTGAAATTTTTAAAAAGTGATAGGAAAAAAGTGATAAACAATAAAAAAAAGGTGATAGAAAAAAGTGACAAACACTAAAAAGTGACATAAATTTTTAAAAAAGTGACAAAACGTTCTAAAAATGACAAGTTACAAAAAACTGCAAACATTCGAAAATGTGACAAAACACCACAAACCATTCATGCACAACTCTTCTTCTCACCCAACCCCCAGTTTTCTCTCTAATTTCCAACCAAAATTCAATCAAAATTGCTATGAAACAAAATTAAGTCTCTCTTCAAAAATCTTGATTAGCAAAAGCATTCTGCAAATGTTGATTTACAAGAAGATTACTCGTTGAAAACATATATATGTAAGCACCCCATACAAGATTCGTTGGATGATAACTACAAATTGCATTTCACTTTCATAATCCTTACACATTTAAAACATAAATACAGAAAAGTAACAAAAGTTAAAAGACATGGCAGTCCCCAAACCAAGAGACGCAAAACTAGTGCATTGTTGTCGGTACCTCCTCCATCTGCACCTTCTCCATCTGCACCTCCACCAACACCAGAACCAGTGCATTGTTGTCGGTAGCTCCAAGTCGCCAACAAACCACACAGCTACCACATTTCTTAGTCACACAACCACACCCAAAGTAGTACGCTGCCACCATACCCCTTGGATCCACAAACGGTTCCACACCCACCAACTCCATTACAGAAACTCGATTCTACACCATAACCCCCCATCCTAACTCTAATTCATCTTCCCAACCCCAAAGGTTCAATTCTCTGACTGCTGCTTCAATCTCCTCTGGATGCTACTTCATTCCACTTCTCCGACTGCTTCATTCCACAGGTAAGCGGCGACTCTTCGAGGTGGTGGGTTCAGCACCACCTGCACCAACCACCACCACACCCAAACATTGCTGCCACACTGCCCAAACGCTAGTGCCACCAACGCTGACATCACTCAAATCGCCGCGTCACTAGATCCACATCCCACAACCACATCCAATGCACCACCACATCCCCACTGCTTGCACAGATTCGCATCCTCCACCACCACCAAATCCTGTGACATCGATCCATCGCCTGCAAATCCAAATTGACGTAGGATGCAATAGAACAATTGTAGGAGAAGGGAAAGGGAAAGGGGAAAGAAGAGGAGAAAGGAGGGAGAAATGAGAGAAGAAGAGGGAGAGAGGAAGATAGAAATTGGAGAAAAACTCAATTATTTCATTATATCAAGCTTGTCTGAATTGCATTGCACAGACCCCTTTATATAGCATTTAAACTAATGCTAATTGCTAAATAAATCACTAATTATGTTTCTTAAAATAAAATTTAAAATTGGAAACTAAATATACTATTATTTATTCTAATACTCCATCGCTTCCCCAAGAATGAAACAAATAAAATCCCTAGATAAGAGCAAGTGGATTATTCATTATCATTCCCAACAAAGGCAGCTCTTTGTTCAATGGAGGCATTGGAGTGCTCAAACATTGAGGGGATTACCCATTACCATTTCCCTCAAGCCTTAAGGGGAAAGGCTGGGGACCGAGGGCTGGGCAGGGATTAAGGTTTAGAAAGAGGACTTTAGATTTGTTGTCCCGAACTTGTTGTTCCCCCAAGGAGATGAGAACAGAATGCTAAGTTGAAGGTGGCAGCAAAGGGCAAAGGAGGTAAATTGTAAAAGAAAATTGCTAACCCAGACCCATAACTAAATCTCCTTTTTATTGGGCCCGGAAGTGCTGGCTCACAAGCTTGCACACGTGCTAGTCCATCCGGGCCAAAAAATGTGGCCCGACATAACCCGTGTCTCTGAGCAGGCCGACAATGTAGCCCACCCATGATAGGCCCAGGTTTTTTACGGGTTGGGCCATCCAGTGCCTGCGCGGCCCAACCCAGTTTACGCCACTATGCATACAATACTTCACTATGTTATAGTCAAAGAACAATAAATCAGTGTAACTGCCAAACAATTAACATTAAATCGCTACAATCGTAAAAGACAGATGAAACAATATCTGCTGAACTATTGATTTCATTTTTACAGTTGTGGTACGTCTCAACTATAAAATGACTTCTTTAAACACTACGCAATTATAGACTGATCATAAAAGCTTATCAACTTAAAGTTTATAAAGAAAGATCTTTTTTTACTTCATTAAATAAAGCCATACAACGTAACATGCAGCAAATTAGTTTAGCACTGCTAGAATGACAAGAACATACCCTTCCTCATCCTAAAACTCAATAATTAGTTTGCCAGATAAATGATTTTATGAGAGAACAAGATATAATGTTGTCTTGAACAAAAGTTCAGTAACATGCCAAGAGCCACTTATCTCCCAGCAATTCCCAAGAGTTGTTCATTTTGTGTAATAAAGCAGAATTGTTCTGGTCTCAATATAGTCACCTAGTTGGCTAGTAATTGTATAGTACATGGCGATATAAATCTGAAGTACTTAGAACGTGCTCGAGGAGAAATATGAAGAGGAATTACCAGGATCTTTCTTGACTCCAGGTAGAGCAATGCGAAAATAATATGCAGATTTGCTAACACCGATATCTACAGCTCCTACGGGCGGCCCAATTCCCCCTTTACAAGCTGTTCCTGTCAAGACGAGTGATGCATTCAAATAATACCTATCCACATTTGGAATCGGTAACAAGGGCATCATGAATGGCTTGTCCAGATTGGAGGCTCTAGGAAATGCAGAGATTTGCAAAGAATCACCATCGCATCTCTTTTCCCCGTGATCTTGGCATTTACTGGAATCCTTCTCCAAATCATCCGCATCCAGTTTGGTTATACTTCGATTATGAATGATTCTCTTTGCCATCTTCTCAGAATCTAAGGTATCCATTCCTTGATTTGCTGTATTTTCATAACATGGTTTTATCTCCACCAAAAGTTTCCCTGTTCCATGTGAAGAATAAAGTTTAGGAACAAGAAAACAATCACCACAAGAACTTTTGAAGATAACAAAAATTAAAGGAAGAAGATGACATTGACTAGATACGGTTGGACATCAAATGAATTAGAAAACGGGGAACAAGGAGTAATAAAAAAAAATCAAATTTTCATATTTACAATGAGTTTTCAGCAGTGACCATTTTCTTAGCTCGTGTAAGCATCCACAACAGCACCTAACTTCTGAATTAATGAAAGAATACACCACTGCTATTGACTCAAGTAAACATAGAGAGAGAGGGGAAATATAAAATTTGAACTGCTCCTAGTTTTTATGACAGCATCTAAACATATAAATGTTATTTTCCTTCAACAAATTCCATCCCCTGCATAAACTCCTTGAAATTTGTACGTGTCAACCACCACTGAATGTCCTTGCATTTGATTTTAAGGACCTCGTCAAACGAAGGGAACTTTCTTCTGCTTCTAAGGATCACAAGCATTGTCAAGCATGACTCCAATGAGAGAAGTATTAGAAAAAAAATCAAGAGCTTTCTATTGAGAAAAACCACCGCAATATTCAATTAACAGTACTCAAAATCCATGAAGGTGTGCAAGGAAGGTCCATTTGAGAAGTGGTTGGTAAACTGTAATCGAATCAACTATTTCCAACATAACAAAGTCTTCATAAATAATTCCATGCATTTCCTCTTTCAAAATTGAAGCTGGTTCTTCTGCTATCTCTACCTGCGCACAATTACCTACATGCTTTTTATCCTTCCTAAAACAAGTTTCTTAAGCAAACCTGGAAATTTCTTCAGGCATTCGGAAGCCAAA